CTGCGGAGGGAGAGAAAGTCAATCGGAAGCAGAAAAAACACACACGCCATTTCTGCTTGGTGCGGGTTGTCTCTCCTTAGTGTTTCGAGTCAGGATGGCATGGGCAGCCGGATGCCTCGAACGGGGTTAGTTTGGACGGGCTGATTATGAGAACTAGGCGGCTAATGCCTTTGGCTGACATTTCTTCTCCTTCGCAATCCGTGCCCATTCAGGGGTGAGATCCAATCCCGGGCAGAATTCGTACACCAAAAGTTGTCAAGGTCCCAGAGACCAGGATATGCATGCCAAGAAATAGATTGAGCCTCAAGCCCAGCCCACGAGGAACTCGAGGAAGCCCCATATGGAGGAGCCACAGCCCACAGGGAGCCACATCTTGAACGATATCCGTTATCAAGCCACAAGGATGACGAGGATGAATTGTGGTTCCCATCACTTCTTCAAAGGATCGACTTTTCCGGTGAGATGGAAACTCTTGTGGGAACTCTGGGAACAGCACCACAACACCCAGTATTCCCGACCTGTTCCCTTACATCCCTCTGGCCATCAAAATTGGATCTCGGCTCTGTTTGCCGGGACACACGGCAGCAGCGGTCAGACCGTCAGAATGGCGGATAGAAGCGAACCAGAACCTCCAAAGCCTCCAATCATCATGGCTGACCTGAACCTGTGTTTACTGTGATCGGCAACTCTCTTTCCTGGGAGGGAACGCTGTTCCATAAAATATGGCTTTGTGAATTGTCAAGGTGCCGTTCAAAGTTGCAGTTCATATATTTATATTAACTTCTCGGTACGAACCCCCTCTCCCCTCCTTGTCTTACCAATGCTGATGGAGGCGAATTGAATTCGATCTCCCACTCCCCCCCCCCCCCACCGTCCCGACCCGGGCGTCGTTTTCCCTTTGCCCATATTGCCAGTTCGCAAACTCATACGACTTTAAACTTCACCAGGGGCTCTGGTATTCTCAACAAACTCTCTCTCGCGTGCCAAGATCTCCTTCTCAGCCTTGGTGTTACCCTCCTTGGGCAGGTACGAGAAGATGACAGGAATCAGCGCCGCCAGAATAGTTCCGAAGCCGGTGAAGGCGCCCGTGACCGCGAACCCCTTTACAAACCGGGGCCCGTCCGACGAGGGCCAGAGCCTACTGCCGTAGACCGCCGAGAGATTTCCGACAGAGTTGACCAGGGCCACCACCACGGCGCGCTTTTCCGCAGGGAGTGAAATGACCTCGGACGTCCAATTAAGCATGAGCGGGAGCGCCGTGTACAGGCCGGCAATGTAGAAGCACAGCATGGCGTACACGACTTTGGGGTTCGACTCGGTCACGCAGACGAGCGTGCAGATGAAGCTGAGACACATGCACCCCGTGATGTGCCACCTGCGGTCCCTCGTCTTGTCGGCCGTGTACGAGAGCACGAGCAGGAAGACGGCGCCTACCATCCAGATGGGGATGGTCATGTACTGCGCCATGACCGACGTGTAGCCCATCTGCTTGACGATCGTGGGGATGAAGTAGGAGATTGTGCAGGAGCCCAGGTCCATCGTGAAGAGCACCACAAATATGTACGTCCGCGGGTCGGCCAGCGCGGCCTTGAGAGATTGCCAGTGAGTGAGGCGCTGGCCGTGTCGCGCCGCCGTTGTCTGCCGATCGTGGATCATGCGGACCACGGCGAGTTGCCGTTCCTCCAATGAGAAGCGCTTCGTTGTCTCGGGGAAGTCGAGCAGCACGAACTTGAAAATCATGGCGAACCCGACCGTGCAGACGCCCTCAATCAGATAGAGCCATCGCCACCCTCGCATGCCTCGAACGCCTTCCATATTACCGGTGATTGCGCCAGCGAGGAGGCCGCTCACGGCGCCGGAGCACACAGAAGCGGTGTAGAAGATTGAAAACCTCTTGCCTGTAAAATGCAATTTCACCTTAGTACAAGCTGACGTAGACCAGTTGTGGGGCTTGGCATCCATCTATACTTGGGCTACTTTTACAGATGAAGAGTAGATTAAAGTACGGGACTCGCGGGTGATACCGTGAAAGTAGGTAATAAGGTAGGTAAGTACTTACCGATTTCTGCCTTTTTGTACCAGCAAGTCATCACGTACAAGACACCAGGGAAGAATCCGGCCTCTATGCAGCCGAGAAAGAACCGAAGAGCCAGCATTCCTTCGTAGTTTTTGACGACCGACATCACGGAGCATACGGTGCCCCAGACAATCATGATACCGGGCAGGTAGTACGACGGGCGAGATCGAGTGAGCAGCATGTTCGAGGGAACTTCACAGACGAGATAGCCAATGAAGAAGATCGAAAGCAACATGGCATATTCTGCATCATACATCATCTTTGTCAATACCGATTTCTTTGACTCCTTTTGCCTGGGCCTGTGTAGGGGCGCTTACGGTCGTCTGTGAGTTTGAGGTCTGCTTCCATACCAGCAACTTTGGCATTGCCCTTTGTGACAAGTCAGTTCGGACACCCCTGCGTGTAATCTGCCGCGATAGACTCACGATATTCTGCCTGTCGATGTACGCTAAAATGTACATGAACCACAATGTCGGCCCCTGCCATGGGCGTCAGCATCGCGCCATTACTGACTCGGATTTCGACTACTGTTCAACCCAGCGGACGAGCCAGGGGGGGGGGGGGAGAAGGGAGGAAAAAAGCCTAACCATGTATAAGTCGAGCTTCCGCACGAGGGCCTTCTCTTCCGGAGTATCTGGAACATAGTTTGCCAACGCTTGCTCCAATTCCAAGTCGTGCTCGGATAGCGTTACTTTCTCAGTGTACGCCTCGGCCGTATCCGCAGTGTCGGAAACCTCTGGTTGAGGCTTTTCTGTCTTGATGTCGGCCATGGTGAATGATGCTTATTTTGGATTGACCTGGCACTCAGTCGCTCGTCAAGCAATGCGTCGATCACGGAGACAACATCACCAAAGATATCACTCGAGGGAAGGGAACTAATGCTCTTATAAAGGTCTTATCTACTATTGGTGCTGACGATCAACCAGCGTATCACGCGTAATATGTGCACTGAGTCGGAAAACCGTGTCTTTCCTCGATACGGGACAGATAGAGTTGGGCGTGGCTAAACCCCGCATTGTTATCGGTAGTTCAAGTATACTACGGATAGGTAGGTACCTACTTGGAGAGTTGGATAGACCGAAACCAGGATGACCGAAGCAACTTGTTATCTCCATGCAATGGCGACCGTATCTTCGCACGTTCCACCCACTATCACTATTCCCCGCGTTTCCACAATGAAGATACCTGTGCAGTATGGCAAACGAGTTGATAGTTGAAGTGAAAGCACGCGGGTGGGGTTCTGTCATTCCGGCTGCAAATGATAGATGACGAACGGTGCGTTAGACTGCCTGGGCAGCTATTGGCAGTACCTTTCACTATCATCCCGGATATCAACAACCACTGGAGAGTGGGTCCGGTTCCGGGACCGGTTGGTCTGTGTGACCCGGCCCGGTGCACTTCCTGACGGGCGAGGACGGGGACATCCTCTCTGTCAATGCGGCCGGCATTGCAATGTACAAGCCGTTGAACAAGAACCGCGGATACGGATATTGTACGCAGGTACATGAATATCCGCACTTGCTAACGCTACCAGACCGTCGGGTCCGGTGAATGTGGCATCCGGCCGCCGATGCCACATAGCTGCGATATCTAGGCGCTTAGCGACCGGGGCGTTTCTTTATAGTTCTCCCGCGGCCAAAGGCTTTGCCGCAGGCAACGGAATGCGGGAAAAGGAAACAATGCCATTCTTACAAACGCAAGTGTTGGCTCTGAATCAACCATATGGCATCGTCTCCGGGCCGACGGAGCGTTAGCGGCGAAGTTGGACTTTCAAAATATCCAGGAGGTGTTACCTGAGCCGAGACTGCTCATATCAAGTGGTACCATCGTGTTAGTCGGCGGGCATAGAGGATGATGGAGAAGCGCACGAAGGCGACTTCTTGGATGATTCACAATCTGCAGTAGTAGTGGCGGCAGAGGATGGTTCGTACTACGTTCCAGTATTGGGGTCGCGGAGGAGGTCATCTGGGGGGAACACTTTCCCGGTCCTGTGATGTTTGGCTTTGGCTTATTCCCTGTAGTGTGAAGTTTGTCCAGTTCTTGAGAGGCCCATGTCATCATCGTGAGATGGTTCGTGAGCGAAATACCTGTGCGGTATGACCATCTTCTTTCCGGAGCCATCTCAACACAAAAGCAGGCACTGGAGATGTTCATCATGAACTAGAACTACCTCAAACGCTCTGCATTATCTGTCTGATCGATCCCTATTCTTTTGCTTATAGGCTCTGAATTGTTTCGCATCCGCAGGAGCGCTGTCTTGAGGTTGTGTGTAATGAGTATGGTCTGGTCGTTGCAGATACGGTGGTGGCGGGCTTGTCGTCGACGTCCTAGACGCTCGCCAGGTCTCGTGTATGGGAGGTCATGGCACGGAACCGAGTCATTGAGACTGGCTACTTGGAGAGAGTAACTGAGATTGTGTTCAGGTTGTCTTTGGCCTCGATCGCGATGAGTCTGATGTCGTAGGCACCTAGGGATAATGCGGGGTAGGTTGACGACTGGTCGTGTGTATGAGGATTTCGCTCACCTTTTGCAATCGTAATTCACATCGATTTTATTCTTTTAAAATATGTATGTGAGCTCTGAAAATGTCTGAGTTTCTTGGATGATACTCATCACTAAGCCATTGTCCACAAGTCTGATATTCATGTCACCAAGGCAGTTACCGAGGCGGACATGGTGAATTGAGGGGCTTGCTGTAGCCTAGTAATGCCGCCAGAGTTTGGACCAGATCAAGCCAGACTAGGTACTTGCTCAGCCTCAAAAAGCGTCCGTGGCATTTATTCGAGCTTGTCACCTACGCTGAGCTCCATCTCGAAAGATCCTAATACATTTCCCATCTTTCATCCGAGCTGGACCTGCTGGGTTACACACTACCTACTGTCGCCCGTAGAGCCTCGTCCCCGCACTTTGCGCCGCAATCAAAATGACCACCCTAACATCTGGCCCCGTCTGCCGGTACAAATTCACGATCCTGCCCGAGTACTTTGTGAACTACTACAAGGTTGCCGATGCCAGTCCAAACGGAAAAGCAACTACGCAGCCAGGCCTCGGACTCCTCGACCTGCACTTTGGAGACGCAGCGGCTGATGTAGCAGCCGAGGGTGAAACCAAGCCCTGGGAACGATTCGCTTCTCATGTGAGGAAGCTCAACGCGGAGAGCCCTGACGGCGTGGACTTCAAGGTCTTGTACCTGACTAGGCACGGACTCGGATACCACAACGTTCAAGCAGCCAAGGTCGGGACGGCTGAGTGGGATGTAAACTTTCTTAAGCCTTCTCATCTTGATGGAAATTGAAGCACTGACGAAGGCGGGCAGAGGTACTGGTCCCACCTCGATGGCGACGGCGTCGTTACCTGGCTCGACGCGGCGCTCGTCGACACAGGCATTCAGCAGGCAAGAGACCTGAGCACCTTCTGGACGCGTGCAACCTCCACCACCGCCGAGGGCGAGGGCGTTCCCTTGCCGGAATCCTTCTACACGAGCCCTCTCCGCCGGTGCCTCGAGACGAGTAATCTCGCCTTTGGGCCCCTCGTCGAATCCAGGGGCGCGGGCCGGGACTTCCGACCTCTCGTCAAAGAAGGACTGAGGGAGCGCCTGACAGACCACACGTGCGACAAGAGGAGCTCGCGGAGCTGGATCGAGGGTGCGTATCCGCGTTATCATATAGAGCCTGGCTTCACGGAGGAGGACCGGCTTTGGAAGGCGGATCGGTTTGAGACGACGGAGGAGCACGTCGCGAGGAAGCAGCTTGTGCTAGAGGAGATTTTCTCGACGGATTCAGGGCAGTTTTTGTCGTTGACGGTGCACTCGTATGCTATCTCGGCTATACTGATGGTTGGTGGGCAGGAGGAGTTCAGGGTCAGGGAAGGATCTTCGATTGCTTTGCTGGTTCGCGGAGATAAAGTAGGAAATAGATAATTTGTCTCAGCAGAAACACGAACCATATCAAGCTACAACATCAGCATCTTCAGCACTATGGAAGACTCATTCATCACCAAATTCCGCAGCAGTCTCTGAGAAGCATCAAACCGGCGGTGGCCGGTAATTCGCATCCTGAAGCCTTGACGCAACGCCAGCCTATATCACCTTAGACAGTAGTGCGCCATATCAAGTGATATCAGTAGTGGAACGTAGGGTCATATGTGGCGACTTTCATTCAAATCTAACAATCTGTCTAGAAACTCTCATTCTCCGCAAATTCGCGGCCCCCTTGAGTCCCTTCGGCTCCAGTATCAATGGCATCCTGGATGTCTGCCCCCCCCCCCCCCCCTTCCTGAACCGATGAACCGGCTGAGGCCATGCACCTCACACTTGCGCCCAAAGCTGTCATTTGTGGAAATTGCCTGAGAATTCAACAATTCCATATAAAACCTCATGTACAATCCTTCCCGGATAGGCAGCTGCCAGGGAGCATACCTCTTTCGTCTACATACTACATCTACTAGTCTCCCTTTGAGTCTCTTTCTTTGAGTGTATATTTCTGGAAGACTATACGCAAAGCTCTATAGTATAATTGTGACAAGGAAATGGTACCATTATCTCACTTCCTCTCTACCAAGTCACATTCATCCCACCCTCGCTCAAACAACCTCTTCTAAGACACACCTCTGGAGCCTGACTGCCATTTCCTATGATACTCAAAGCGAACAAAGCCTCCCACTACCGCCTACAAGGCAACTAGGCAACCGTCCTTGGATATGCGCTGGCTCATACGCGACACTTCCAGAAACCCGAAGACTATGATACTGCATTCTCCCACGCATTGTAAATAGGGCTCTTTGAGACGTCTAAGAGCCTCACCAGATTAGGGTCAGAGTGAGTTAGACGATAGGTGGGTCCGCGACATGCCACGTCTGAGGCCGGTCTACGGCGACGAGGTCGCCATGGCATTCGTGCACGTTGCTGCCGCTGTTCAGACCTTGGAGGATACGGACAACTTGTTCCTGGTATCCTGCGTCGATTTGGGCAAGTTCCAGTATGCGGCGCTTCTACGTCTACTCTGGCGCGATCGTTCAGGATGTTGATGATGAACCTAGTGGGGAAGAGCTCCTGCGCGGATTGGAAAAGGGGGGGGGGGAGCGTTGGACCCGGTCTGGCGTTCCGCAGGAACTGACACTGAAGACAATAGGCCACAGTGTCCGATAGATGAGAGGTACAAAGTGGCCAGCCCTTCACGCAGTGACTTCCAGAGAAGCTCGATGCGATGTCCAAGTGCTTCGGAACTCGTAGCGTACTCTCATCTGGGGAATCACATTTGCCCAGTTTCGACACTCGAGCAGATCGATGCCGCAAGGCCTCCGCGCTCTTTTGGTCTCGTCTCGCTATGAAAAGTTGCAAGATTTTGACCTCATTGCAAAGAATGTCTGAATGTAAGCTTGGCCTTACGTGAAGTTTCAACAGCCTTAAGCGATGGGTAGACTTTACAGTTCCATACCTAAACACGATGACTTGGAGAAAGACGAAGGCCCTCATGCAGAACAGATAGAGGAATTGCGTTGTAAGGGCGGCTTGTGACTGAGGGTTTCCTCATTTATAAATAACACTCGCTTCGGGGTATCTTAGTTCTTAAATGACCATGGAAAGCAGCGCCAGGTATCGCAGAACCACCTTCACTTTAATATGCCCGAGCCCCTCAGACAGCTCCCAAAGCTGTCCAGAGGCGTCTCCTTCTTCGCACCCAAGCTTCTCATATCCACCAATGGCACCATGGAGGGTCGTCCGTGTGCGCATTGAAATGGAAACGAGCACCGACTAAGCCTGCGAACAAGAGCCTCGCATTGGTCCCTGGACAGGACGTCGTTGAACATGATGGCACCTACTCGACTTAGCGTCACGACTTCTCACAAAGCTGGAAATTCAATCTTACTGCGGCAGGATCTCGAATTAAGCAGGTCAATGATCCCTTGGGGACATCCGTGAAAGTTCGATACCCAGTCGATCTCTTGACTGCTACCTCCAGCAGCAAAACTGAAGGGCCTGGAAGCTGGGCTGCCGTCTTCCTCGGCTCTCCATATTTCGTGCCGAAGAAGGTCTGCGACCAATTTTGGCTCTGATCTGCACCGCTCAAGAATGCTTGGTGGCAGGCTGAACACGTCCACCTTGGGGAGCTGCCTACTCCTGTGCCGCCAAGCTGTCGACTCCGGTTCATCAATATCGAAGAAAACTCCCCATCGACGTAGATGGTGGACGTATTTGCGCAGCAGTCTGCATTCCTTGGACGAGAACTCGAATTGTAAGGGCTTTTCGAGAGCCTCCGTCTGTGCAAGCACCTCTTTCGGACGATTCGCAACGTAAAAATAGTCCCGCATCAGTGACTCGAGTCGGCATCTCTCGTCTGCGGCGTGTTGATCAATCAAGACTAGTACAGAATTCGTTTGGGCGCCTGGCAGATTTCCGGCAGAAATCAGATCTCGTCTGAGTTTCACCAGAATGAACTTATTATCAACCTGGGAGACGACTTCTGCTTCCATCAAAGCAGCCTTGGAGACTCGGCCAGAGAGCTTGATATTCGACGTGTGGGCCCCGTGTGAACATCTAGTGGTGTCAAGGTCTAGGGACTGAATCAGACCTTGTTTTGGTCCTCCCTGTGTACCATCCAGTTGAGGTACGGGGGGTCCGACGGGCTGAAAAACGGGACTCTCCCATTTCGAAAGAATACCCCTGAGCCTATCGCTCGGCGGTTGAGGTTTTAGGCCATCCCGTGGCTTGAAGAATTGGGAAGAAGAAGGAAGCAAGTTGACGTGGCCTCGTACTGCGTCCTTGTCGTTGGGCTTTGCCGAAGATGACTTCGACTGACTTTCCTCTACCTCGAACGATGGTCGCGTAGAAAGTTGATTTTGACCAGCAGCCTCACTTGTAGCGCTGGAACGGTTGCCAGGTTCGACCTCCTTTGACAACGACGACTTCGGCAACAAGTCATCAAAGGGCTTCCGCAGCAGATTTCCGGACTCGTCGAGGTACCGCAAACTAGGCTGAGCTTTCGTGGTGTCCTCGCCTGGCTCTTGTCCCGCAGTGGGCCTGATCGTGGCTCCTAGAGCGACTTCCGAGGACAGAGGAGTTGATGCTCCCGATTTCGAGGTGCCTGCCGATGTTCTTCCCATTTTGACTCGTTGCCAGAGATCGAAAGGAGACTCTGGCCTCGATAGCGGGGTAGCCGAATTTGATCGACTGGTCGTTGACGAGACCGTCCGCGACCGGCTGCTGTCTCTGCGTCTCCCTTCCCGAGAATCGTGTTCTTGATGCTTGCCACTAGAAGAACCCTGGAGCGAGGTAGTGACTTTGTGAGGACGGAAATGATGCTTCTTCAAGAACTCGTAACAGACAAGCTTGAGCAGGTCAATCATGTTGGCGAGGGTGTGGTTACGTTCTTCGAGGAGGTCTTCGAAAGATGAAGCTACGAGAGGGCGTGCACGGGACGAAGAGCTGATTCGAAAATAGAATATTGGCCACCGATCCAAGCCTCGCCTCAGCTTGGTAATTTTTGTTGAATTTCCCTGCGGATGTGGGAGAACGACACCGGTCGAATCGCTTCGGACATCCACGTCCTCCTCTATGGCAAAGCCGGAGTTGACAAACACACGATTGACCTCGTTGTACAGAACATTGGTCCCGTACTCATTAGACACGGGATGGATACCAAAGCTAATGAACTGAGCTCGACGTGTGGCGACGGGCTTCAGCGCTATGCACCCTGCGATGGTCAACTTCCCAACAGATGCGCCGATGGAAGTCCAGACTATTTGGCCCAAGCCGTCCACAAGACCTGATTGTGTCAGAGTGCGTGATGAACGAGCTACCATGTCCGACTTGGGTGTTGTGTTAGGCCTGAAGCGTGTCTCGTTGTTGTTGACACTGTCTCGGACGAAGAGAGCAACACTCGAAGGCCAGGCTAGCAACAGAGCAGTGAGGTCATGAAGTAATCGGCCCCAATCCTTGTCCACTGCGACTTTCTCTGAGGATGCAGCTCTCTGCTTAACTCTGACGGCCATGGAGCCGAACAAGTCTCTAACGGTGACGCGGGTTCCATGGCTGAAGGTCACTAGGTGTTGCTCCGGTAGGGCAGGGATGTTGCGTGCCAAGACCTTTGAGTTGTGAATGGTGACTGAGTTTTGCGAGTTGTAGAGATGGTGGTGGGAGGTGACGGAGAGCAGAGACAGAGCGGCAACAGATGCTAGGAAGTTGCCGTTGACACCGTGGCAGTCTGTCTCGGGCGAGAGCCTTGATGTGTCTGAAGATGTTTTAGCAAAGTGCGCGCTAAGATGAGTTCATGTAGCTCACGATGCTGTTTGGCCAGTCCTCCATGCTCTTGGAATTCAACAGGTAGAATGCCTAGCCCGTCGTCCTCAACCGTGCAATTGCCACGAGAGTAGTCGATAGTAACATTGACCCTTGTAGCCTCGGCATCGAGGGAATTCTTGACGAGAGCGCATGCGACACCGTTGAGAGACGTAACTGTGGCTGAGGACCTGATGCGGCGGGTGACGTCCTCTGGCAAGGGCTTAATGGACATGATGGCTGTTGAGAAATCGAGGCGCCATGTCGAGACGCGTCAGGATGAGCCACCGGGGATGGCTGCGTATGTGCATGGATGTGTGCAGTTGCTGGTTTACACGGCCATGGCAATTGCCTACGACTGTATTGTGGATTCAATCAACGATGACAACTTCCACTGGTCTCAGGCCGGAGCTCGTGCAGTGAATGAGGAAGGCGACGTCAGGAATGGCGATAAGCGATAACACACGATAAGGTAAGAGATTGTGTGTTGATTAGATAAGACACCTCAGGTAGCAGACGCGGTCATTTCTGTTCGCTGACTACCTAACGCCCTCAGGTGTGGCTGCCCCTGCTTCCAAGCACACCAAGAAGGCGCCATGTGAGTCTTTTGAGTTTCAGTTTGAGCGCTAGATTTGGCAAGTGTCGGACAAGTGAGCTGAGAGCTTTGGAACGGCCTGGGAAGTTGCGAACGGTTGCTGAGGGTGGTTGGGAATGGGGCTGAGTATGACCCTATGGTAAGAGACGTTCAATGCTGGATGGCGATTGCCAGCTTGGATATCCGTATGGCGCCGCAAGATTTTGAACATGGTTGCAGAGGGCTTCGCTCTTATGACTGAAGTGTGCTCGGAGGTATATTGGTATTGAACGGCTCGGACAGATCAAGGGACCACGAAAGTGCGGGGATCCAGAATCAATCCGGAGTACGAAAGCTCAAGCTGCCGTCTGATGTTGAGGAGCAAAGTGGCTGATGGTTCTTGTGTAATATTGATTGTCTTACATGTGACCCCTGTCTTCCTTGTTCGCAACGTCGAAAGGGTAGCCACGAGGATGGGATGCATGTCGGAGATACGAACACACCAATTCTGTCTCAAGTTGGTGTGATCTCTTGAGCTTTCTATCGCGTCTCGAAAAATGTGCTGAGAAAGTCTACCATCCAGCGGCATATGAGAATTAAGGCAGGTAGATTCGAGAAAGTAAAGAGCGTGCGAAATTATCGAGAGTGTGACATCACACATCAGATGGAATTAGGTATGGATACAGCAGCTGTTGTGCGTGGCTGGTGAATGCCAACCGCAGTGACAGCACAGATGATGATGACATAATGCGACCCGAAGGATTGATTTGTAGCAATCAGCAACAAGTATAAGTGTGCGTAAGCAATTAATGAAGCTCGCACCAATTGTCAGTGTTTTCGAATGGGATTTAAGGGTCCACGCTTCCGGGGGACCTTGCAGTGATCCCAGTCGAGCTCTTTGAAAGACATTGATGATCGGAAGAATGGAGTCCTGGGAAGGCGAGAGTCTCCGCTTGGGTCGAGACGGATAGCACACCAGGTGGTCCAATTTCGTCAATTCCAGGGCTGCGTTAACGTTGTACCTTGGCTTGATCGCGTTGCGCTTGATTGGATCACACCGTCCTCCACCATCAAGCTGACAAAGGCTGGGGTTTCTCTACCTTGGCCCAGATGCCGCCTCAGAAGCTATTTGAACAAAAGTGACCAAAGTAAGTTGTGCCAGTTCCGGAGGCTCGTTGGGTGCTTCCAAGCTAGCGGGCAGTTGGCAGACGCAGACTACCGAGGGCAGTGGAGATGGGCGAGAGCGACCCCCAAGGTCTCAGAGTCTCCGAGATGGCTTCGGCCGTGGACCACTGATATGTTGCTGATCGACCGTAGGGCGGCGCAGGCGGGACGTGGACCTTGCCGTGGGTGCGTGGTTGCGTAAGGTGAGGTGGGCTGGATGTTGGGTACCACCCTCCCCGGTTCTGGTGTTGTCGTGTGGTCGTATCCAACATTGAAAGGAAGGGCACTCCGTATGTCGTCCGAGCACTGGTAGGATTGATAGAGATGTACGAGTATCTCTAGGTCGACGGCGACTTGGAGTATGGTGCTTACCTTAGTCAGATACCTGACCTTAATGTAGATGAAAGAAGGGGAAGCTGAAAGAGACCATACAACGTACGACGGGCATGTTGTAAGAAAAGATAGGCCGGGCTGGGCAGCGACAATGGGCAGCGCCTGGGGCGTCTGGGCTGGGGCTTTGCGATTGTGGCCCACTCAGTTCCACGCCTTGGTCCCTCATGATTCAAATCCGTTCTGGTCCTTTCGCAATACCTAAAGTACCTACAGAGGTATGTAAGGTAAGGGAGTAAGATACGGATAGGTAGGTACCTTGGGTTCCCTCTTTTACCCTGAGATGGGCTTTGCATGGAACCAAAGTGACTTGGTGACTTGGGCCAGCGACCAGCGACCAGCGACCAGCGCCAGGCCGCCAGCCCAGCTCCAGCAACGTCGAATAAACGTAGGCAAGGTACCTAGGTAAACTGCCACTGTTGGGTACCGCTGCCATTTGCATTCATTGCCTTGGACTCTTTCCCATCCCACTTTCAGTATTCCGTTTCCAGTCCCATTCCCATTCCCATTTCCATTTCCATTCTCAATCTCATTCTTTGCTCTCGCTCCTCCCATTCTCAATTTCGACCTAACCACCACTCTCACCCCGACACACCGTACACCGCACACCTTCCTCCCATCTTGATCTTCGACCACCGCATTTTGCTCACATTCCTTCAACCTTCCCGACTCATCCATTTCATTCCCGAAAACCCGACTCTCCCGTCGACTGACGCTTCTCCTTACCCCCCTCCTGCACGCTCTTTTGAACGCCCGCTCGTTTCTCCAGCTCGAGTCCTACGCCCCGACTTCCATCTACCGCCTCATCTTTCGCCGTATCTCACCACTCGACTTCTTCCACTGATACCCCTTTTGCAACCACCTCCGGCAGATAATCCCCTGCGACAAAACCAACCCAGCAAGGCGACCGAATGGCTACAACCGAGGCCGCGCTGCAGCCGCACGGTAATTATAGCCTACCTTTCTGTCCGCATCTGCTTTATCGCTGCGACTGCCGTCTGCCCAAGGCGCAATCCTTCGGCAGCTCCAGCCCATGCCGTGTGGTCAGTCGCCTCAACCGCACAATAAACTGACAACATGGCAGATCGTCCCGATCGTGCTGGCCGCCGCCGTCCCTTCTCCACATGGGTCAAGAAGCTCACCAACTTCAAAAGCTCATCCTCTAGCGATGGAGGCGGCGTTCGCCTTCCCAGCTCCAAGCGCCAACAGGCCAAACTCCACGCAAAGATGCGAGCCTCCAAGAACAACAACCCCTATCCTCAATCAGGCCGAGTAGGCTCCGCTAGCCATGCCGATGTCGACGTCGAAACCAGTTCCTATTCATTCTCAACCGCTCTGAGCGGGAGCGCAACCTCGATTGAACGATCCTCTCGCATGTCTTCTCGAATGTCCTCCGACGATGGTCGCGCCCCACCCACCGCCGGCGCAAGATCCATGGCCCCCACGATTTCGACTGATCACGATGGCGCTCATTCCCTAGTCGCCCCGTCCCACGGCGCTCCATCCGTGGCAGGGACGAGTCGAACCATTGGAGGCGTCGAGTCTCGCAGAGGGGGAGACAGCACATTTTCATCCCCAGCACCGTCAGTGCGGTCATTGACGACCACCTTGACCACAATCCAGTCCATGACGCCAAACAACGGCGGCACCCATGTGCCAACGAACCCGACCAACAACGGCAACCACACATCGCACCAGGGTCACACCCAATCCATCCATTTCAACCAACCATTCCCAACAGCACCGCCCGCATCTGCCATCCCCGCCCATCTTGCGCCTGCGGGGTCGGCCTCTGGCAACCCCCAAACATACACAACGGCTACGGCCAACAACCTGCTTACCGATAACGCATCCATCATCACCCTAGCGTCCTCATCGCAACGTCGTCGCCGTCGCTCACTCGATACCGATGCCTCTGTCCGTGCCCTGGCCCCTTCCTCCCTCTGGGGCGGTAGCCGGGAGAGCCTTCCTCTGAGCGTCCTAAGCGCCAACATCGAACAGGGTGCGGGAATGCCGACAACCCCGGGGCTTCACCAAAGCAGCTCGCGTATAGCCAACGCCGAACGCACTAGTATATACTCGGCCACTGGTGTCGCTCCCGCCATACCGGGCGACCGAAACAGCTTTTATGCGAAGCAGAGCGGCACTGGGGACGGAGCGAGCGTTCGGAGCGGGCTGCTGGGCCACAGCCGGTCTGACAGCATCAGCGGGAGCATCGGCGGCGTGACCAGTCCGTTGACTAGTCCAAGAGAGACCTCGGAAAAGAGCGGAACGGAAGACAGGAGCGACGGTACGAATCGGGCTAAGGACGACGAGGAGCGCTAAATACAATATTCCATCACTATTCACGACCATTTTCTCGCATTAATGAGTCTGGGGCTTGGGTGTTTGGCTGGCATCATGGGAGGGGGACTGGGATGGTTCGGTACTTGGGATTGGGGGCGCTTTCATGGATATTACCCTCACGGGGCTCATACGCAGCCAGCTAGCCGTGAGTTGAGCATTGACGGGAATACATGCATTACGAACGAGGTCTGATTATCGTACTTTCTTGGTTTTTGCCATTGATTACCCAATTATCAAGTTTGGTGATTACTTATATGCCAGTCTTGATAAGTACTTACAGCCGGACTGCCCACTCGACAGCATTGTTTTAATACGGCAGGGGATCCAGGTCCAGGCCCTCGACGGAAAACTTGAAGGAGTCGTTGCGCGAGTAGCTTCCCCCGACGTCAATGTCCAAGCGTCCGCGAATGCAGTCTTCAAAGTCGACGTCGGCGTAGATGATGCCCTCGTCGTCCTCCCACTGCGGCCCGGCGAGGACGTCGCCAAAGGGGCCGACGATGGAGGACCCGCCGCGGGAGACCCAGTCTTTGGATTCGAGGGCCGGTTTCGTCGAGGTCGTGGCCTTTGTTGTTGTCTTGTTTGTGCCGTTTGTGCTGGTGCCGTTGCTGGCGCCGGGAAGGGCGATCTCGTTGCCGTCTTCTGTGAGGCACGAGTTGCGGCGGGCGCGAGTGGGGTAGATTTGGGCGTCTGGGGCGTCTTCGATGCCGCTGTCGTTGTCTGATGCCGCCGCCGCCGCCGTCGTCGTGGTCGTTGCTGCTGATGACGAGGTGGTGGTAAGGGGCCTGGCGGCCATATTGGACGAGACGACGAAGCAGCGGCCCTCGCAGGCGACGGTGCGCATGAGGGGAAGCCAGGTGTCGCGGCCGTCTGCGGTGGGGGCGAGGTAGAGGTTGATGTTTTGGGCGTAGAGGGACTGGCGGAGGAGGGGCATGTAGCTCTCCCAGCAGATTGCGGCGGCGAGGTTGATGCGGACGCCCTTGATTGTGGTGGAGACGGCGCGGAGGGTCGCGGGGGAGCCTTGGGCCCAGATGAGGCGTTCTGTTGCGGTCTTTTGGATGGTGTCAGTCACGATAGTACTATATCGAAGAGAAGAGGGATAGGGGGGGAGGGGAACCTACGGGCATCACTTTGCGTCTCTTCCCAATCATACCCAGCTTGGGACAGACGTAGACGACGGAGCAGTACAAGCTCCCGCCGGCGCGCTCAATGCACCCGACGACCAAAAAAACGCCCGTCTGCGCGGCAATCTTCTCCAGCTCCTCCCTCGAGCCGTCGCCCCTCTCGACCTTGGCACCGGCGGCGTGCTGCGCGGGGAGCTGTTTCTTGACCCACTTGTCGCCGCCGCCGGCGCCCGCGTCGCCGACGGTGTCGCCGAGGTCGACGGCGGCGTTGAAGTAGGCGAGGAACTCGTCGCGGCCCTCGGGGGCGCGGGAGCCGATTTTGGAGCCGAAGGAGGCGCCGCGGGGGTAGCCTGCGCCCAGGTAGGCTTCGGGGAGGAGGAGGAGGTCTGCGCCGGAGGAGGATGCGCGGGACGCGAGGGTGGAGATGTCGGAGAGGGTTTGGGATGTTGTTGCTGCTGTTGCTGGGGACGCTGTTGCGAGGCGGATTGGAGGCATTTTGGCGGTTTGTATGGGGTGTGGTTTTGCGGGTGTGTGATGTTGGTGATGTTGGTGATGGCGATGGTTGTAAGTGGTGAGATTTGGGCGTTGGATGCTCGGTGTAGAGTCCTTAATGGATTAGATCCAGCGAGAATGCTTGAAGCGATGGTATCCGAGCTGTATGGATACCTTGTACTGTGAGTCAGTTCAGCTGAAGCGGTGTATTAAAGGGTTTGAGATAACAATGCAGTTTCCCGCGGGATTTGAAAAGGGCGACCGGGCCGATGAAGCAGAGAAAAAAAATTGGGCTAAAGACTCCAGTCTGGGAATGAGGTGATTCAAACGCCGAATGAAGGGCGCTATTGCTTCTTGCATGTTGAAAAAGGATCCACGATGCGGACACCAGCGGAGGGGGACGGAAGGAGGGGGGAAATGTTCCAACGGGAAGCTTTGCCTTTACTGGGGACGTCATTGTCACATTGTCTTTAGCTACCCCGCAGCAGGGTGGGCGGACCCCGAAAGCTGAACAACCACACAACCTACCTATGTAAGTACCTAAGGTAACACCCCCCGGGAAGAGGAGCTCCACGGTTCAGCAACGTCGCGTGCGCTTCCAGGTTTAGGCTGTCGCAAGTGGGCCTCTGGGGGCCCTTGCCCCTGGATGCTTGTACCCGTTGCTGGTGTTGTTAATCATGGGTTAGCAGAGGCTCAAAGACACTGAGATCGCAACTCCTCGTTTTCTTGTCGCAGATCAGAAATGCCTGGAGTCTCTTGCTCGCTCACCATGGCTAAAGAAACATATCGATCGAAGATGTGGAAGACAACAAGAATGAAAGCTGTTGCATAAGAAAGATACATCATCACCCGATCTTCGCCACCTTATCCTCGAATGTCAACCGAGCCAGAGCATCGCCTACACCTTACATATCGGACCCCATAATTTCGCCATTTCTCGTAACTTACAGCCATTTGTGCTATACAGTTCGTAATGACTCAACAATTGCCAGCTTGTCGTCATTAAACCTTGACAAAGACACAAGTCGTAACTCAAGCTCGATTGGGAATCTGTGATTTTGAGACAGAGTAGAGAATGACTTCATAGACCTCAAGGCGCGCCGGATGTTGTTTGGCGGCACTGGTGGCATCGATGGCATCGATGGCATTCCGTTCGTCTTGTGCAACATATAGCAGTCGCCCAGTGATCATTGTCGACTTCGTCCAAGGAGCCACATTCTACACAACAAACGGCTTTTTGTCTTGAACATCCAGCCTGATAGTACGAAAATCCGGCCGGGGTTTCGTGAGGACAGTGAGACGTTGGACGGGTTGTAGTCTTCTGTGGTTGATACAAGGGCGCAGGCGCGGCTACAACAAGGCTTGATTGTTTTTGTTGGACAGTCGCAGTCCTCCGTGGTTGATGCAATGGCGCAGGTGCGGCTACAACAAGGCTTGGTTGTTTTTGTTGGACAGTCGCAGCAGTGGGCACAAATCGAATTTCATCCCAATCGGATGCCGTTGAGCTCGCGTATGACGCCTGCGACCACGTGAGAAGAGCCTGAAAGAATAACGGAAAGCTCGTTACTTGTCCTTGTCCACTGCTCCGACTCATCTCTAAAAGGCACTGCGAATGAAAGGCACGAATTGACTGACTGAAACGGGAGTTCAGGATGATCCGGTATCACTGGAACTTCCAAGTAGAGATTGTCATATTCCTGCGATAGGTGCCCAAGACCGAGCAATAGTGAGAGGCAAACCGCAAGTTTATGAAGAAGGAACTTCGCAGAGTATGCTTTGTCTGGCGGTAATCTGCTGCATTACCTAGGGCATGCCGCTCTGCATGTATGCGCTTGAGGCTGTGAGGTTTGTTTCATTTCGATCTAGAAAGCAGCCAATCGCCAGTGTTACATCCATAGGCCCCTTTTCCATCTGGCAAATGACTGGCTACAAGCTGGCCACGACTGTCAGCCTCCTGGATGCCTTACGAAACTAATGCAATGAGTGTCTGCCTTGTCTCTTTTCTCACATATTCCAAGTATTTTTGGAACCTCACGAATGGGAGGGTAGCGAGGTGACCAAAATGTACCTACGTACCTAAGAACCAACGCGCAGGTAGATGTCCGAGTATGCCTTGGCGTCCAGCTTTGGGTCACCTTCCCATACCTCTAGCTTGTTTCGGCACATGTGACTCGAATATCTGCCGTCGAGGTTTTCTATCTTGGAGATTTAGCAACAGCCAAGCACACCTTTTCAACAATGCCGACGCAGCCGCCAATCCAGCATGTTCCTCAAGGGTCAGTGTTCTCGTTCGCACGTAAAGAAGAGCCCACCGAAGAGGAGATTCAAGAAAAGCCGTGGAAGTACATCGGCTACAAAGGCTACACTAATTTCATCTCCTCGGATGATGACTTCTTCGTACTTCGCAGATTCGACTCACTGAATGTTCGCGCAGCGTTGGCACTTCAGGATGAGTTGTCGTGGCTTGAGGAAGAGCTAGGAGTTCTAGACAATGAATTCAGTGCAAAAGCCGCGGATGATTTCAATAACGGCACGCTGAGACAAGATGTGCCAGACCGTATCGATTTAGTCAGGATAATATCGGTGAAGCTGAGGGATTATAGTACGATACCATAACCTGTCACTCTTCGTCTAATATAATTCGGGATTGGCTGACAGTCACTACGTAGATGAGTTCTTGATACAACAACATACACTCCGCAAGTTGTCCACAGCACCACGGCGAGACGTGAAAAGTCTTCGTAATTGGCATCACAACCATGACTATAGGGCTATTTCAGAGGATGAGCAGAGGTATCTGAGTCATGAGAAGGACCTTGTAGCGGTGGCAGCGAGAGAGAAGACCCCGTTACGTCAAGTTATTGATGGATCCCTCCGTCTACGAACGCTTAGTCTATGGAGACATGGAGAAGAAAGGGTTGCGACTTACGATGAGAAGGAAGTCACTTACTATTCTGACAAACGGATGGACAGCTTCGCCTCAGCCGTTATCATCGCCATCGGAGTTCTGATGCTCATCACGCCCATATGGACCCTCCAGGCCTTGACGGATCTCAAGGCTAAACTCGCAGTCATCACGGTCTTCATCTTCGTCTTCCTTCTCGTTCTTTCCCTAGCCATGGTGGCTAAACCTTTCGAAGCACTAGGTGCAACTGCAGCGTACGATATCTTCTGCCTCCTAATACAAGGCCCATGACTAACGTGAGTATAGATATGCGGCGGTACTGATGGTTTTCCTCCAAATACAGTCAGGAGACTCTTGATCTTAGTCTTGAATGAGCTTAGGAACTTTTTATGATAGTAAAAGCTGGAGAAACGGCATGTACCATAAGTTTGGGAGTGGCTTTCCGGATAGTTTGAGACATTTTGACGGCCAGATACCTTTCATGCAGGATGTCAAGGTAACATGAGCTTGCTACTAGCCAATGCCGCACCATCAAGTAGTTCATCAAGGTTACTTCAACCTTGGTCCCACAGCCCACAGTCCCTCTATAGCTGAGCAAGGTTGGATCGTCTGTCGGGGTGGGCGAGCAACTACACTCTGGCCAAGTGGTCTAGCGTGCGACGTCTTCGTCCATAGATCGCAAACTGAATTCTATCTAAGCCCGCTGCACCCAGCGTCTTGCAGAGGCACTATAGTCTGCCATTTTGCCAGTTCGAGTCTCCCTTTTGTCACTTTTTTTATGGACCGTAGTGGCCTTAGTTGTGTCCAATAGGTGGAGAAAACATCAAGATTAGCCATATTCCTAACCGCAATCATCTGTCATTCCTATACATCACATTATATCTCATCTACCAAATTACTCATATCGGCCTTCCTTAACCTCGCCTCCGTAAGCAACAGCTCCTTGGGAAACCACTCCGCCAACCTACCACCAGGGAATCCAACCCCCTTCTCCAGCACAACATCCTCCTTGCCCGCAACCATGACCCCCAACGCGGACCCGCAAAGCCAGGCCCAGACCATACCATCACCACAATACCCAGCACTAACCCACTGTCCAGCCTCGGCCCCCATCCACGGCTGTTCCTCCTCCATCTCATCAACCGTCTTCCCAGCCTTCTTCACCTTGACACTTTCCCTCTCCTTCTTCAACCCAAACCAAGAAGATGCAGACGTAGACGAAGAAGAACCAGACGAACTAATCTTCCCCTTAACCCCCGCAACACTCGCGGGAACCCGCCCAACAAAAGGCGCCATATCCCCCGTAACACCCAAAACACCACTCCAAACCCTCACCACATCGCCCCTCCACCGCGTCCCAAACACGGCGCTCATGACCCCAGACACATGCGCAATCGTCATCCCGTCCGTCCCGGAATCGTCGTACACGCCAACCATGTCCACCCCCTCGCCCGCGCTCCGCGCGAACCCGCCACCGAGCATCACGTCCCCGTTAGGCCGCTGCGTGACGTAGTCGAAGGCGCCGTTGCCATAGACGATGCTCCATGATTTGCTTCCAGTATGGCTGTTATCCGGCCACTGGAAGCCTCCTCCTTCTTCTCCTTGCTGAGTACCTTGCATGGAGGGTGTCGTCGTCGAGGGTCGCTGAGCAGTCATATGAGCCTTCACACCCGCCATCTTCCCCCTCAACCCAGGCAAAAACTGCCCAGCATGCGCATTCGTAGCATGAACCACATGTCTCGCCCTAATCGCCCCCCTCGTCGTCCTAACTACATACGGCCTCCCACCCCCCTCGCCATCCACCACGACCTCCTCAACAGGCGTATCCATCTCCAAGCTCAACGTGCCCCCAAACTCATCAACCAACTCTTTCCAAATCTTCGCAACAAGCCGGTACGGCCATAGCGCGCCGGCGCCATACACCAACCCACCCGCAACATGACCCCCCTCGACCCCAAACTTCGCCTTCGTCTCCTCCCTCCCCAGCACCGCAATCTCAACCTCGGGCACCCACCGCCTCAACTCCTCCACCTCCTTCTTCCCGGCCTCGAACCCCTTATCGTCGAGGAAGAAATCCACCGTCTCGACGCGTCTGCAT